TTTATAAATATGTTTATGCTTTCTTAATTTAAAAAAAAAAAAATAATAATAATAATAATGGAGAGTCATATATTATAATTTAAAATTATCACTATAAAATAAATGTATAAACGTTAATATAATAAAACGTTAATATAATAAATTAAATAAAAGAATAAAAAACATGCACAATCTCTTTTATATGTTTCTGTTATATTAATTACATGAAAACAATACCCCCAAACGAGACATATTTTATTCTATTAGCTAACCATAATTTGATTTTCTATGTCTTAAAACGAAAATTTATATCTCACAAAAAAAAAGTAAAATATTCAAATAAAATTTCTTATATTATAATGATATATATGGTGCAAATAAAATCGGATAAAACGGTAATCTCGTCTAAGGGTTTTTCCACATCCACTCGTCTCTATTATTGAGAGCTTCGTGGAGGAAATCACGAAAAGAGATCACAAATAGAATGCAAAAGCAACAGCTTTTGCAGATCACATAATAGAAATTTGTTCACGTACCTGAATGCGAGAATTACTTTTCCTAAAACTCAAGTAACCCGCGGGCTTGTTGCACGCGCATTGGATGGACAGAAGACGCAGGTACTACGGGATCTGTACACTTAATCAGGTACGGATCTAAATATACGCTAACTGATCGCGATTGTATCCGTACATTGAGCATATGACAAACAGGAAAGCCGGGATAATGATTATCGAACGGGCTATTCGTCAATCACAACAAACCAATCAACGAATGATTCCTTTTTTTCTTTTATATACGGATTTCTTTCGTTTCTTCTATCTTTCCTTTTTTTCCCCTTTTCTATACCTGACCAAATTATATATTCAAAAAAAGTTGTCCGTTGTACGCGCTCGCGCACGCTTCTGTATACGTTTGTATACGTGTAATATGCGTGTATATGCAGGTGTATACGTGATGGGAATTAACGTGATCACGTACATATATGTTGTATGTATATCACCGGTGTATGAACGTGTCGCGCGCAATCTTTTTATAATATATTATTATGCATGTATACGTATATGTGTGTGTACTCGTGTATGTATGTGTATCAACGTGTCAATCAATCGGAACTGAAGAATGAACTAAAACGGAAAGAAATGAAACTATAGCGAAAGAAGGGAGCAGATAAGCGGCCAGTAGCTCTTCTACTCCTGGGCTCGAGACGGAACTGGCCCGTGGGCCGTTCCGCTCAACACCACTTCCACTCTTCTCCCTCTACAACCTCCCCAGCTAACCCATTCCCTAAACTTCCCCACTCCAACCCCCCAGAACCCCCTACCTTCGTTTCAACCTCCTCCACTCCCCTAATCTAGTATCCAGTGCGACCACCGAGCCGTCCGGTACTTCGGGGTTGGATGATACTAGGGCGGTGGTCGTTGAACCAAGTATATAGACGAGCTGTCTGCGTCGTACTGGTTGCGCAGGGAAGCCTGTTTGTCTCTTTCTCTATCCCTTTTTTTGTATCCTCGTTCTATCCCTCGTTTCAGTTTGCTTCGCACCCCCCAGCTCGTAATTTGCATTTTCCTATCTCTTCCTCAATTTCCTTTCTTTCTCTCTCCATTATTTTCCCCTCTTTTCCCTCTGTTTCTCCAATCTCATTCCCAATATATTCTCACTCTATTCCTGTCTTTTTTCTTCTCCACAATTCATCATTTTTTATTTTTCCTTTTAATACTTCTTTTTTCATTGTTTTTTTCAATTTCATTCCTAGCATTTTTTTTTCTTTTACTTTCTTTTTTTCTTCTCTTTCAATATCTTCGAACTTGTCTCACTCATTTTCTCGTTCTTTCGTTCATTTCTGTCTCATTTATCTCTCATAATCTTTCGATCAAGCGTACATTCAAATATTCTTCGTATTCTCTATCTTCGTGCACTTTCGCGATCTTGAACATGTATGTCTCCCCAGGTATAACTAGCGACCTCTATAAAACCGAATAAACACAAGCGGATTGCGACGGGGAGCTACTATTATGCTCGTGAACTAATAATAAAATAATTCTGGATCATGTTGGAATTAGAGAAACCCTTTGCAAAAAATCTTGCTTCTTGATTTTTTATTAACTATTGCGTTTTTCATAAATCGTATTATTAGATACGATATCATTTTTTTTTACGAATTATGTAATTGAAAAGTATTTGAAAGTCAAACTTTCAAATATAAAATATAAAAATATAAAAATTTGAAAAAAATGGAATTTAATTATTATAAATTGATCAAAAATTTATTAAGTTAAGTTTAATAATTTAAAAATCTTAATAAATCTCTGTATTATACGATATATTTTGTTTATATTTCTATAAATATTTATGAAATATCTATAATTTGCAATATTCAGAAATAATAGAACATAATTACAATAAGTATATTATTAAATTTAGTCTTATATATGAAATCAGACATCATGCAATAGCAACCACCTACAATACCGAGTAAAGCCGAATTTTCACGAAATCGCGCGATCTACATAGGTACAATGTGGACAGAAACCGACTCTGATTATTCAAACTTAACCCTTTTATAAATATTTCTTATATTTTACATATAGCAAAGAATTCTATCATTTGAAAGAGAAGCTATATTGTTATAAAAAAATTTCAATTGAATATCTTGCATAAATAACAGAAATTTTAGAAACATATCATAAATGTAAAAAATTTAATTTGGATAACCTATCTAATATATATATATATTTCGTATAATCAATAAAAGAAAGAGATCGAAACTAGTTGCATTCATAAAAATTGATTGGCTTATTATTATAAATTTCTTTAATTTTGAAATAATTATTATTATTATTCATAAATTTTCATTCAAAACACTATTTCTACATTTTAGACACAAAAATCAATTTTTAATTTTTATGAATAAAAATAATTTGTTTAAATTTCAATATCAATGAATAAAATATATATGTACATATTATATTAATATGAAATTTTTCTATATATACTCACCGAATACAGCTACGTTATACATTTTCTTGAAGAAGAAACTATTAACTTCATTTGATTGACGATTTGAACCTTTGAACGTTTTACTACTTGTTTGATTGTATCTCTTAGTGATAGATTTTAATACAATGCACCGATACATTGACCGTTAAATTTTTTAATACGCGATTTGAGGTTATATTTTACAAAATTATTTACACCATAGATTGAATAACGATTATACACTTTTCTAATTAAAATTTATATTTAAATTAGAAAAATATTTCATGTACACGTTTTTATATTTATTCGACGAAAATAACTATCAACAATTTTAAAAAATGATTGTAATTGAACGCAATAACACATTATTGACAATATTTTTTATCTGAATATTAACTTCTTTAATCTCATTAAATAATATTCATTGAATTAACATATATATATTATAACAAGACTCTTATAAAAAATAAGCACATTTCGAAATGTATAAAAAACTAATTTTTATGAATATATCATGTTACAGCAGTTAACTGAATAAATGTTCAAATTTTTTATAAATGATCACAACAAAAAATTATTATTTTGTCAACAGAATATTTAACGTAAATCGAATAAACTTGAAAATTAATTGAAAGTTTAGATTTATTCAATCATACACAACGACTTTATTATACACTCTAGTTGTTCAATTTCAACATCTTAACGCGGGAAATCGACATAGTCTACTGACGCCATCTTGCGTTCTTCTTACTAAAGTTTCCTTTTTTAGAAAATTTAAATTTATTTTTAACTATATGTATTTATGCGATAAAATTATCTTTCTAAATATATAAGTTTTAAATTTTTTAAATTTATATAATTTAATAATATAATGTATGTTTATTTGTAAAAATTATTTTATATTTATATATCATATTATTTATTTGCGATATTTTCATGAAAACTGCTTAAAAACTGAATTTGAACTACTTCACATGTATAAAGTATAATTATAATCTTATTAGATACAATATTTAAAGTAATATATGATATATGAATATTTAATTTACAAAATTAAAATTATTTGATCTCTATAAATATTGAACTAATTTTAATAAAATTCTAAAATAAAATTTCTCCTTTTAATAAAATAAAACGTCATTAAATGAATTAAAGCGCCATCTGGAAAATATTTCTAGATAGAAAATATTTCTTGAACACGTAATGGGTTCGTCTTTCACATATGACGCCATATTGTTCAAGAGGAACAGAAGGTGTAACCACGCCATTGTGCACATCATATTAATTTTCGACTATTTGCGTAAATAAGAAGTAAAGTAAGTGAAAAAGAAATTTATGTAGATTTGCTAGAGCATAAAATTCATTTGATTAAAAATTAAATATATTTCAAAAGATTTGTGACATCAATCTCATGATATTTCGTTCGTCTTTGTAAATCAAAGTTCGATATTTTTGCTTTATTATTTTTTATTTTATTTTTTAATAGAATTTTATTATACATTTTTTGTCTTGCTAGAAATAATAATAAAATTCATATTTCTGTCATTACGTTTTTTGATCGCAAAAATGCTTTTAATATTTTAAATGAAATCTGTCATGTTAATTTAAAATGATCGCGCACAATACATTATTTTTTATTGGAAATAAACTTAGCTATTTTTTAAACCTATTCCTAAAAGTAATATATATATTTTTTTTTAAATTTAATTTTTACGAATAATTTGATTTTGTTAAATATGTATTAAATATGCATATATATATATGCATATGTATAATATGCATATACATACATATATACATATATACATTCAGCGGACATAAGCGCGCTCGCGAGCGCATATCTAATTTGAATAAAATTAATTTATTTTCATTTAAAATACTTTGTTTTGTATTATAAAATTATAAATTATATATATACATATAAAGTAATAGATATTAATTTAATATTTTTTTGATCTTCTAATTTAATATAATATCATATGTTGCTATCTTTAACTTAATGAATTACATTAATTATTACTATTTATTGTAATTTTCTGAATTTCAAAGTAATTTGTAAATTAATTAAATTTATATTTTTATTTTTTAATATATAACTGTAACTAAAATTTTATTTGTTTCAGAAAATTAATTAAGTACATGGACAACATGTACAGTAATAATATTGACCCCTGGGAACCAGGTTATGGTCCTGAAAGAAGAGGGCATAATTCAGATTATGATTATCGTAATGATTATGGAAGCAGTAGATCACCAGAGTATGGAGAACATCGTGACAATGATCATAGAGATAGAGATCATCGTAGTCCAGAATATAGAAATCACAGAGGTCGAGATAGAGACCGCGAAAGAGATCGTTCAAGGGATAGAAGGGATCGTAGCAGAGATGATAGAGATCGTAACTATAGAGACAGAGAAGATCGTTACGGAAGGCAAAGAGACAGAGATTCTGTAGAAAGAGAGAGAGATCGGGATCGCGATCGCGATAGAGATAGAGATCGCTCTAGAAGAGATAGAGATAGAGAAAGAGATCGAGATCGTAGAGGGAAACGCGAGGAAAGAGATCGGGATCGCGATGATGATCATAGCCGTGAAAGTATGGATTTTGAGCACGACCATGGACGTACTTATGGTTCGTCCATGGAAGGCATCCACTACAAATCTCAATCTCCAAACAACACCATAATGATTCGTGGGCTTGCTCAGCACATTACAGAAAATGACGTAGGTTGTCAACTTAGCGGCCCAACATAATTGGCCACTCGTGAGCCAGCATTTGCAAGCATACATCACTATTATTATTATGATGTGTGTATCACAGGTGCGGCAAGACATCCTCAACTGTGGTCTCATGCCCAAGGACATCAGGCTAATTCGTAAAAAGGATACAGGTAATTATCTTCATTTTTATAAATCAATTTCCCCTAAAATTAATATGCAAATTAGTAAATTGCTTTTTATCTAAGCAAATTACATTAGTAGATTTGTGTAGCATAAGTTATAGTTATATTTTTATAATCATTTTAAAAAATTGTTTGAAATTGTTAATAGTAGAATGTTCTTTTTGATCAAAAAAATTTCAAACAATTTTTTATAATAGTATTCAAACATTGATATTAGTATTATATCGGTACCAATCATGCATACCCCAAAATTATTACAAAATAATCAATATAATAGCTGTCAATTGAATATCATTCATTAATTAATTTGTTGATCTTAAAATCAGGTAAGTTTATACCAAGAACAGAATTTGTTACATAGGAAGAATATTTTGAGGGAAATCAAATCATCATTGCTCATCTTACAAGGGTGATGTAAAATATTTCTGAAAATTGTTAAAATTTTATATTTAAAATAATTGGAAAATAAGATTCTATATGACCAACCAATTCTATATAAATTTCTAATTTTAAAATATAATGAAAATCATTAAGATTTTTATATTCTATTGTATAAAATAGATACAATAGAATATGTGACCCTTTTTGTATAAAATATCAAATTTATTTCTTATATTATTAACGATTGTATAATATAGAAATTATTGGGAAGAAAAGTATTTTCTATACAATTCTTATTATATCTTTGATCTATTCACGATTGCGAAAAAAAAAGGAGACTAAGAGATTTTAGTAGGTTTATCATTAAAGTAAACTAAAGATTCGCGTAAAGATAAGAAATCGTCTGTCACCCGTGTAGAATTCATTCTGCTGAGCTTTAGGCAAATGGAAATGAAAGCAAGCGACGAAGCGAAGAAAATACTTCGTTCGAAACTCAGTCTGTCAATGGTTGGTGCTGTGATTGCCTGCCCTCTCAGAGTAGAGACTCCCAGGCAAAACGTGGATTAACTTTGGATATGTGTGTATTTGCTCTGTATAGGTGCTTCGCGAGGTTTTGCATTCGTCGAGTTTAACGCGACTCAGGAGGCCGCACGGTGGATGGAGATGAAACAGGTAGAAAGAAGTTCAGTCCAGATACCCAACCGATGCGTTGTACGCGTGCCACCGACGCCC